TTCTTTGGCCCTGCGCCCACCTCCGCTGACTCCACTGCCCACATAGAGACCAAACAAAATGTTTGTGGTGCCAACATTTAAAAAATTCAGGGTGTGGGGGCACCTGGGTGGCTCAGTCAGTTGGGCGTCCGACTCGGCTCAGGTCATGATCTCACAGTTGATGGGTTCGAGCCCCGCGTCAGGCTCTGTGCTGACAGCTCAGAGCCTGGAGCCTGTTTCAGATTCTGTGTCTCCCTCTCTCTCTGCCCCTCCCCTGCTCACACTGTCTCTCTCTCAGAAATAAATAAAAACATTAAACAATTAAAAAAAAATTCAGGGTGTGGGATCCTCTGTCATCCCCATCCTTCCTCCACTCTTCATTTGGCTTGCCTGACAGCCGACTAGAGGCAGCAGCTCCTCGGTCATCCGCATTGATCTCATTCAAATTCTGGAAACTGATCCTTATTCCTCACCATTTATTGATGGGCACAACGTGCCAGACACCGGGTACCTAGAACAGACACAAGAACACAAGCTCCCAGCCCTTAAGGAAGTTGGTGACATCAGCTAAAGAGCTATAAATAATAGATTTGTCACAGAAAACTATTGCATGATTTCTAGGTAGTTTAATGACCTACTGAGAATCAACTAGAAACAGAAACTGGATATGTGTTATTCTAAAATGACTCAGTGGGTGTGGGGCTCTCCGCGGGTTATGTTTTCATCCTGCATCACTGCTCACGGGCCCCTAGGCTTTCCATTCGTTCCTTTCTCTCCCGCAGTCTCTGATGATGTCACCTTTATTCTTGCCTACCTGCCACCACCCACTCTGTCTTCTGAGTTCCTTTCTTCCCGAAGATGTTGAGATCTAGACCAAAGGAATCTTAAAGTCTGCGTTCAGGGTTTACCCTTCTCCAGATGAGCACTGAGCAATGGCTAGAAGTGTTGAATCACTATATTGTACGCCTGACAGTAATGTAACACTGTGTTAACTATAGTGGAATTAAAATAATTTAGAAAAAAAATGGGTTTGACTGCTCTCTTTTAACTCCAGCGATGAGTAAAAACAGCAACTGGTATCCCATCATCTGTTTTGTGCAGCCTGGGATCTAAGACTGGTTTTTTACATTTCTAAATGATGGGGGTGGGGAGGGGGCGGGCAGGAATCAAAAGTTCCTTATTTCATGACATGTGGAAATTATGAAATTCACATTTCAATGTCCATAAATGAAGTTTTAGTGGAACACAGCTATGTTCATTCATGGTCTACAGGTGCTTTTTTTTTTTTTTTTTTTTTTTACTATACCTGTAAAGTTGTCTAGAGACTGTATGTCTAAAAGTATAAAACAATTTCTTTGAAGGCATCTTTGAGCATGCCAGTAGGTAGACACCTCCCCCAACCCGAGTTGGAAAAATTCACAGTTGGGGCGCCTGGGTGGCTCAGTCGGTTAAGCGTCCGACTTTGGCTCAGGTGGTGATCTTGTAGTTCGTGGGTTCAAGCCCCACGTTGGGCTCTGTGCTGACAACTCAGAGCCTGGAGTCTGCTTCAGAGTCTGTCTCCTTCTCTCCTCCCATCCCCTGCTTGCTCTCTGTCTCTCTCAAAAGTAAATAAATATTTTAAAAAACAAAAGGAAAATTCATGGTCAAACAGTTATTGAGATTAAATGGTAGCAGGTATGTCCAAGGAATAGTGGGATTTGACCCCTTTATGAATCTTGTGCCGGACAGGTGTGGGGAGGTGGTAAGTGACAGACCAACATTGGAATGGTGGTGACAGGAGGAAAGAGTATCATCATGGCAGAAGCCTTTGAGAGAGTATGAACAAGAAAACCAGAGAAATCAATGCCACCACATCTCTTCACAGCACGTTTTAGTCATTATAAAAATTAGGTCATGTACATCTTCCTACTGAATTTTTTTGTTGAATAAACTTTTGTGATAGTAATAAAAAAAATTATCCTCTGGTCATTTACTGTAAATTTGCCAATCCATAGCCTAAAATAATCCAGTTTGAAAGAGACCGTGGACAGCTCTTGTGTAGGTGACATAAAGTGCTTCCCAAATCTTGCCTCATTTGCTTCTAAAAACTTGATACAGTGAGGGTTATCACTATTTTTTAGGTGACAGAGACTGACAGAGAAAACTCTGCCAACATCAAAGGCTGGAATCAAGCTAGGTCTGCGACTTCAAAGCTGGTAGTCTTTCCAGTTCACGACACCCTCCCAAGAGGTCTGGAAGGCACATTCTGAATTATAACCAGACTCCTTTGTTGTTGTTTTCTAAATTTTTTAAATGTTTATTTTTGAGAGAGAGAGACAGAGCACGAGCAGGGGAGGGGCAGAGAGAGAGGGAGACACAGAATCTGAAACAGGCTCCAGGCTCTGAGCTGTCAGCACAGAGCTCTATGCGGGGCTCAAACTCACAAACTGCAAGATCATGACCTGAGCTGAAGGACACTCAACTCACTGAGCCACCCAGGTGCCCATAATCAGTCTCCTTTAGACAGCCCACCATTGGTCCTGATCTTCTACCTTGAGTCCATCCATATGGTGACCTTCCAAAATCTACAGGCTGTAATTTTGTCTTCCTAGAGTCTTTGATTCTCAGCTCGACTGACTCTTAGTCTCCTTAGCATCCATATCACTTTTATGAACACCTTCCACTGGTCTACAATCGTCTTAAAGTGTAGCACCTAAAGCAACCTGATACAGGGGTCTAGTGATGAGTGGACTGCCTACCTCAGTAGTTCTAGATGCTCCACATCTTTCCATCTTTATACATGACTAGTTGACTTTTTGGACCCAGAGGCAGAATCTTCCATTTACTACTATTGAATGTTGGTCTGTAAGTTGGAGTGTATCATTCCTGCCCACCAAGATTTTTTTAGTTCCAGCGTAGTTAATGGTGTTATATTAGTTTAGGTGTACAATACAGTGATTCAACAATCCCATATTTCACTCTGTGCTCTTCAAGCTAAGTGTACTCTTCATCCCCTTCACCTGTTTCTCTCCTCCCCTCCCCCTCCCCTCTGGTAACCATCTGTTTGTTCTATTGAGGTGTTTGAATTCTCATTCTGCAGCTTAACTTGCTGTTCTAACTCTTTGCCATCCACGAATATGGTCTGTATGCCTTCTGATTTTCACCTGGGTCACTGGCAAAAATGCAGTAGCCTTTATCCTTCATTCAAGAAGGTAGCACTCACAGGCCCTCCATTTTATCAAGGGCTTCATGTTTGTGTCACTGTGTCCTGTAGATCCTTTTGGGGTGGCTGACTGAAGTCAGTTCAGAGGAAACCCCAGGTAAGCATCATTACTTTCAGTGCCCTCTCTGACACCCACACAGCCACTTCTAAAGAGAATGTTCTTCTTCTTTTTTTTTTTTAATTTTTAAAAAATATTTTATTTATTTCTAGGAGAGAGAGAGACAGCATGAGCAGGGGAGGGTCAGAGAGAGAGGGAGTCACAGACTCTGAAACAGGCTCCAGGCTCTGAGCTGGCAGTCAGCACAGAGCCCGACGCGGGGCCCGAACCCACGAACCGCGAGGTCATGACCTGAGCGAAAGTCGGACGCTTAACCGACTAAGCCACCCGGGCGCCCCTAAAGAGAATGTTCTTCTTTTCCTCCTCCTCCTGCATTCCTTTCCATTCAGGGTCACCATGAGGGGGGACAGTCTACCGGCCTTCTCTCCTCAGCTCTCTTGAACCCAGTCCTTCCTCTTGCCCAGTACTGGTCGTGAATTTGGACAAGTAACTTAGCATTTCTGTGCCTCGTTTCCCCATCTGTGACATAGGGATGTTAACAATACCCAGTAAAGGGGCGCCTGGGTGGCTTAGTCGGTTAAGCGTCCGACTTTCGCTTAGGTCATGATCTCGCGGTTGGTGGGTTCGAGCCCCGCGTCGGGCTCTGTGCTGATTGCCAGCTCAGAGCCTGGAGCCTGTTTCAGTCTGTGACTCCCTCTCTCTCTGACCCTCCCCTGCTCACGCTCTCTCTCTCTCTCCTAGAAATAAATAAAAAACATTAAAAAAAAAAAACAATACCCAGTAAATAAGTTAATGGATGATGATAATCATTCAACAAGTTACCCTTCAAAAAAGAAAAACTTCCATTTCATGTTAGATTTTTACAGCTAATACCAAGGGGATAATAAATAAGAGGAGCTACAAAGTTAGAGTTCTGGGGGCACCTGGGTGGCTCAGTAGGTTAAGCATCTGGCTCTTGATTTCAGCTCAGGTTCTCCTGGTTTGTGGGTTCAAGCTCTGTGCTGACAACACGGACCTTGCTTGGGATTCTCTCTCCCTCTCTCTGCCCCTGCCCTGCTTGCTTGCTTGCATTCTCTAATTGAATAAACTTTAAGGAAAAATTAGTTTTTTTCCTTATTAAAGTTTTACTTTTTCTTTCACTTATCTCTCTCCGTAAGCCGTCCCCATGTCCCATAATGCATACTGTCCCTTCATTCAGAAGTAGACCAAACCCATTTCCCTCCCCTGGATCTAGAGTCTCTTAAGACAAAACAAAGACGTCTTTGACAAGCATTTTACTCACAATTACAGTGGGTTCGTGTCTCAAACCCCCAACTCCATAGAATTCCTTCCCCCAAGTGTCACTTTAAAGAAACATCCATTTGAGTCATTCTCATTCAAGCGCCAGCCAATGGTAATTTTGAGAAATGGAGCTATCAGGCTCCGTGGAAGTACGTCTCAAATCCCTTAAGACTATCAGGAAGATTCTGAAGATCCTTCACTCTGGAAGTCCCAATTCTTTTTTTTTTTTTTTTTAATTTTTAAAAAATGTTTATTATTGAGACAGAGAGAAACACAGCATGAGTGGGGGAGGGGCAGAGAGGGAGACACAGAGTCCAAAGTAGGCTCCAGGCTCTGAGCTGTCAGTACAGAGCCTGACGCAGGGCTCCAACCCATGAACCATGAGATCATGACCTGAGCCAAAGTTGACGCCTAACCTACTGAGCCCCCCAGGCTCCCCCCAATTCTTTTACCCCACAGAACTTCACAATGTAAACAAACTCAATGTGAAAAATAAACATTTATTACAAAAATTAGTTCTGACATTTCAAAATGAAAGCAGGCAGGGTGTTTCCCAACTCGAAGGGGCCATGGTAAGTTGGAGAGGTAAATTCCAGGCTGGTGATAAATAACTCATGCTCATCACAAGTGACCGAGAGAGTGAGGAAACATTCACCTCAGACTTAAAGGGGCAATGAGTCACCTCTATTTCCCTGTGACCTTGTCTCCATATCCCTCCCACCCCATCTCCCAACCAGGAGGCTGAAACATACTTCAAAAATCTCTTTCTTACTGAACCGTTTCATCATCTCTCCTTTTCCTGTTTAATTAAATTTTATTTCCATCTGAAAATTTTATTTTTTATTGGTGCATGACCCTTAACTGATGGTTTTGCTCGGTTTATTTTTCCTTTTGGATCCTTGATAGAAAACTCAATTCTGTTAGGGATTTCCAGATAAGGGAATAAAACATGGCAAAGTGGGGCTTAGCGTCCTCCACAGAAAAGAAGTTCAGCAAAACCAGCCCTCGAAGACCCCTTACTTGTCCTCTTGCTAGTTAATAAATAGGCGGGGTGACTATGGTAGAGGGGGAAAGAGAATTTTAAGGGCAAAAAGGGGTCCAGATGCACAAAGGAGAGTAATGTCAGACACGTGTACCTTCCCGTCACTCACACAGATGGCCTCACAATCTGATCTCAAATTACCTTTCCTTTAAATAGCACCTCACCCAACTCCGCTCAGTAAAGCAGTAGTTACTTTGCTGCTCTAGAACAGTTTTCCTTACAGAAGTGTATCAGTGCATCTGGTTGGCAGAGGGGGGAGGGTGGGCCCTTTTTCCCATCATCAGGTAGAACCCCAGAGCACAGTGTCATCTCACCCCCCACCCCGTGCTCCCCCAGCAGAGGACACTCCTCCAGCTACCAGAGGGCTCTGGAATGAGGGTCCAAAGTTCAGAAGCTCCACCTTGAGACCAGAACCAGGAAGGGGTGGGACAGGGAGCCAGGACCAACCCAGTTGCTGGGAAGAAGGGCTTCAGGGACCTTCCTGTTTGTCCGAAGGAGCCCAGGAGCCTCATTTTCCCGGCTTCCCACAAGAAGCTTTGACAAAGCAAGTTGTTCTTTCCAGCAACATCCAGCTACATCCCAATACACACCAACAGTCTCAGCAAAGAGCAAAGAAACCCTCCAACGCGCACTGGATTTCAGCAGAAGGCTAAGACTGCGTGCGCGCGCGTGCGCGCACACACACACACGCCCATAACAAAGGGCTAAGACCACTATGCACATCCGCACCGCCCTGCTGACACATCTTCAAAGGGTCCATCCAGCCGTTCCAGCCAACGGAAGGGTGATGGTCAGAGCTTCCTTTCCTTCAGATCAGTGGTTTTAAATCTCTTCCGCTCTGTGTCCCTGAAAGCTGCCTATGCTCTCCGTGGCGAAAACTCCTTTTTTTTTCTACAGATACAGATGGTGTCTACTTGTGTCAGGGTGTGCGAGAGGATCTCGGTGGCACTTCCCACGGGAAGACAGAAGAAAGGGGGCTGCAGGGGCGGGTGGGACTTAGTATTGTCACCAAGCAACCTCTTCAGTGGCATGGCCTCCAGTCCCCTCTCTGGAACAGCAGGTGGTACCTCCTCACCACGGGAGGGAAGGGCCAGGGGACTAAGCTCCAGAACCTACTGGGGGGGGGGCAGGGGCGCCACACACAGGGGGCAGCGAGGGCCGTGCCATTGTTGCCACGTACTTGGGAGGGAAGTCAAGGACTTCACACTGAGGACTGTTGTCTGAGCCCTCATAGGGATGGGGGATGAAAGCTTTAAACAAGTCCAGGCCACTCAGCAGTGGCGGGAAAGGAAGGGGGGGTGCAGGAGGAAGAGGTACATAGCCGGCATTATTAAAAAAACACACCCTAAGTAGGATAAGCATGGGGGCTCCTGTGGGAGCTAGAAGACACATAAGGTATCCTGCGAACACAGGCCGGAGTCTGGCAGCACCAGAGCAAGGCAAGCATGGAGGACAGGAGACGAGTTGGACCAGGGTCACACCAGGAACGACGAGGTCTGCTTGAATTCCCCCTGAGAAATAAAACGTCCAATCAACCTGTATGCTCCTGTTTAGCTGGTAATCAATCTCTCGCACTTGTAAACACAGGCGAGGAGCCCCTCACTCCCCCCGGGGGAGACCCTCCTGGTGCCAGGGGAGCACACTCACTTCGCTGCGGGCAGCGGGCTGGCTGTAAATCACCTTCTTACTCGAGGTCCTGCGGACAAGCCAGAAGATTCTCAAGCCCCCTAGTGCTCTCCTTAACCTCTGCTCACCAACTTGAGACGCTCGACCGAGAGCTTTACCCAAGCGCAGAGCTCTCCGTAGAGAGGTGTGGGTGGCGGGAGACGGGACAAGTGCAAGGTCATAGGGAATGGGGAGAGGTAGAAATCGGGAGGTCCACCCAACAGGCTGGTCGCTGCCTCCAGCCCCTCCCCCCGGGGCCCCGTTTCTGCTCAAACCAGACGCATCCTTGTTCTCAACCTCCTTGTGAGATCCCCTAGAACATAGCTCACTCACCCCTTCTTTGTTCCTGAAAAAGAAGAAAGGGGACCGTGAGTGTCCGTGGGATCGGAGACGGCCGGGCACAGTAGGCTGGGGGAAATGGCACGCCAATAGGTCACTAGTGCTCACCCGGGAAAGAACCCCTGCACACGTGGGCTCACTATCAGGTCAGAACTCAGATGGCACCCAAGAACCGTGCCCTGAAATGGGGGCGATACAAAGGAGAGCTGTTGCAGGCAAATACTTACTGTCAAAGTAGCCTCGTCTATAGGCGAACCAGATGCCCAAAATCAAGAATCCAAGGAGAATGAGTGTGACAAGGACAGCTGCCACAATGCCCCCCACATTCATCTCCGCTGTGAGACACAAACGAGAGGTCAGTCCTCTGAATGCTCACTCACGTTACTGACACCACCACCAAAGCCAGGATGGAAAGCAGACCCCCGGGCCCCGCCCCAGGTCTGAGCTCAAGCCCCTGCGACAGCCTCGCTCACCGGCTTCCATACGCACGGCCTCTGACCTCATGGGTGTCCCATACCCGTTCTGCGCCTGACAGGTGTATTCTCCGGTATCAAACGCTGACACGGGATCGAAGACCTGAAGGGAGAAAATCAGTCGGCTTCCCGCCTAAAGAAGCCAAGTACCTACTTTTGGTTTTTTGTAAGCTCTACGCCCAACGTGGGGATTGAACTCGCGACCCCCGACACCAAGAGCCTCATGCTCTACAGGCGCCCCTCCATTTTCATTTTTAAATTGCAGTATAGTGGACATACAGTATTCCATTCACTTCAGGTGGACAGCACAGTGATTCAGCAAGTGTGCACCTTGTGACACGCTCATCCTGATAAGCGTCCAAGTCCCCATCTTGTGTCTCCCGACCCTAATGCCAAGTTCACCTTGCTGCTTGTTCTTCTTCCCCACCTTCAAGGGCTCTTTAACCACGGCCCCCCCCCACCTTTCCTCATCACCCCAACTCTACCAGCTCCCCGGTCTTGTGATTCAAGTTATAGGAAGAGTTGCTGAAGGCACGGCTGCTCTTGGGCTCCGAGGGCATCAGGACCCCGTCCTTGAACCAGTAGTACTCAGAAGGGGGGGAGCCATCCTTCTCTGAGCAGGTCAGCACTGTCCGACTCCCAATGGTGGCAGAGGAGGGGATTCTGACCGTAGGCTTAGAAGGAGGCACTGCGAAGGGATGGAAGGGGCTGAGCACAAGGTCAGACTGCGCTGCGCCTGCCTAGAGGCCAAGCGGGGTTCAGTCAGCTCCAGCCTCCAGGGTCCATCCCTCCCCATGCCCGCGGCTTCCCCCTGCAGGAGGGGGAGGGGAGGTGGCAGGGCTCATCCCCTCTCTGCAGCACAGAGACTGAATCCCCCCAAGCCCCCACTCACCAGCGCTCTATCCGTGAGCTCCAAAGCTCGGCAGAGCCTGCTGAGGACCTAGGGGGCAATGAATTCCCAGCCCACACAGAAAACGCGTGGGCACCTACCAAGCACAGTGAGCTGCACGCTGACCTCCCCGTACATGTTGCCGCCATCATCAGACACCATACAAGTGTACGTCCCCGTGTCTTTCCGCGTCACCGAATGGAAAGTGATGCCACTGTACGAGAAGGTGACTCGGTCTGCATAGGAAGCTGCCAGGAGACAGGAAGGAGCGGCTGAGTGAGCGCGGGGCCAGGAGGGGATGGTGCTGGTGGCGGGAGAGGCCGCGAGGAGGCCACGGGCCCCGCGCCCCAGGGTGCAGCTCCCCCCGCCCCAGGGATCCAGGCCCACCAACCCCTCCACAGCCTAGGCGGCCGGGAAGGAGAGGGGGGACAGCTCACCTGTGATCTTGTTGTTATAACAGACGAGGCTGGTGATGTCGCCTCGGGTAAACTTCCACTCCACGCGGGGAGAGGTGAAGCCAGAGTAAGAGCAAGACAACTTGGCGGCTGCGGACAGGGCAGGGGTGAGCGGGACGGCGGTGCGGCGGCAAATGGAGAGGGGGAGAGGCCCCAAACTGCCACCTGTGCCTCATGCCCTCCGCCCCGCCCCCCTGCACGGCAGCACACAACTCACGTTTGTTCTCAGGAACTCTGACATCAGGCTCGGAAGTAAACACGGCACCCCTGCCCAGCGCCAGGGAGCCTGAGGAGGAGGGGGGCAGCCCATCAGGAGGGGTCGCAGGAGCAGCCCGGCTGAAGGAGCTTCTGAGGCCCCGCCTTCCCCACGGCTTCTCCAAGGTGCAGAGACTCAGGAGACCCAGGCTCCTCCCGGGTCTCGCACCTCCTCACCACTGTCCGAAATATCCTCAAGTGCCTTTCACCAGGATTGCAGAACACTGCTTCCATCATCAGCGGAAATGAAATATTTCTTTCGAATGTAATTTCTTTCTTTTTTTAAAATTTTTCCCTCTGCACCTCCCAACAACCTAATTATGTTCCCACTAGTCCAAAAACAGCTTCCCAAGTGACTTGTCATGGTTCAGAGAAAGCTTCTCAACAAATAATTAATTGCAGTCACTTGTCAGACACTCCTGGCAGAAAGCCAGCAAAGCTGGCGGGGGGGGGGGGGGGGGGGGGGGGGGGGGGGGGNGGGGGGGGGGGGGAGGGGCAGGGAGGCAGTTAGGAAAGGAGGCAGGGAGCGAGGGAGGCAGGGAGGGGGGAGGGAGGGGCAATGAGGATAATAATAACACTCCACACTTGTAGGGCATTTTGCGCTTTTTAAAGTGTTTTCACATACATTATTACATCGTTTGATCCTTGAAACCGCATGACGGATCAGCAGGTCGAGTGTCATTATCCCAGTTTTACTCGAGGACCCAAGCCCGTGAGAAGTAAAGAATCGTGCCTGAGATCACACAGCGGGGACTGAGCTGGCGTCAGGACGGGCCCTGGGCTAGATCCTCTCCCCAGATGTCGCTGGCCCAGCAAGAAGGAAAGGGAGAGGCGGCCGCAGACAAGGCGGCCCGCGCGACAGGTTCACAGGACGGTCCAGGGTTGCAAAAATGAGCACCACTGACTCCAGGGGAGAAACCTGCACTCGGACAGCCGCTCCCGTTCATGTTTTCCAAGCTCAAATTCAGCACGTGGGCTCTCGTTACGGCTCTGAGAGTCCCGGCTTCCTTAGAGAAATGCAAGCACGTTTCTCCTTGACTAATTACACACGTAACTGAATACGGTCTCGGGACCTCGGAAGCTCCCTCTTCTCACCCCAAACATGAAAGGTCTGAACTAGATGTTCTCCAAAGTCCTTTAGGGTTTTCGTAGGGGGGAGGGTGGGGGGCATTAATGTTTAATGAGGACCTTTATACGTGCATTTACTTTTATTTGACACAACACTGTGACTTCGACCAGGTAAGTATTCTCTCTCCCGTTTTTTTACAGATGAGAAAATCAAGTGTCTAAAAAAGTTCTGTTCTGGCCCAAGTTTTCACAACTATGAAACGGCAGAGCTGCGATGAAAACCCAGGTTCCCCCTAGATCCCATTTCCCTACTTATTATATCATATTTGTATACACCATGCCATATCTCAGAAAAGCCGCGGCTTAATGGGGGACCGGCTATGTAATGAAATGCCATTCTTTTACAAGTCAGGTCCATTTTATCTGTGAATTATTTACAGTAACATTACCTTACATGCGTGTACTTGGCATCACATTTTAATGTCAAATTTATAATCAAATATAATAACACGGAAGAAATGTAAACCAAAAGGCTCTTCCTAAGTTGAAAACAGAGCACATGGGCGCCTCTTACTCAGCTGTTACGGGGAATGCGGTAATGAAATGCTTTGAATTTTGCCCAATCAGCTTTCTCTGCTTTGACGATGGGAACCTGTTTTTTCAAGATCCCTACATTTTACAGTTTGCTACTTGTGATGTGCAGCGTGACGCTCAAACCAGATCTCTCTTGAGGAAGGAAAGACTTGTTATCCGGCCTCTGGGATGTGGGAGCCCGACAGTGACCACAAGAAAGCGTGGTTAGGGACGCGGGGATGTGCCTGCACGCGGGGCTCCCTGCCTGGGCAAAGCATGCCTGCAAACAGGATGCTCTGCCAGGAGGCCTGCACACAATATCCAAGTTTCATGGTCCGCTCGCAAACGAGGGAACATGCCCTCCTTAGAACTAAGGAGGAGGCTGGAGTTGTGAGCAGGCCTCTGAGTAAACATGTTGTGGTCGCTTCCTCCCTTTGCTCCCCGCTGTCCCTGAAATGTGTTTGGCTACTTGCCCTTAATTGGTAAAGGAATGCATCTTGTAGATTTCAGTTTGTATCCAGTTACCGGGTATAAAATAAACCGCAAGAGGGGCTTGCGTAGAATTGTTCCTCCGGCCGGAGTTGTGTCTCTGTCTTTTGTGTGTGTCTTGTCCTTTGTGTCATTTTGTCCGCAACATGGGACTTCTGCCAAATCAAAGCCCTCAGCTATCAGCCCTTTCGGGGACAGCGAGCCCACTACCGGGCCCAGGGGCACGGGGTCCGCCAGGGCAGGGGCAGCGGACATCCAATGCCTCATCCGTGAATGGGGGGTGGGGGGAGCTCAAGGGAGCCCCAGTTCTACTGCCCCAATGCCCCAACCCCCAGCTCAGAACTCGGTGCCACAAAGCTCCCTGGAGAATAGGTTGAAGCTATAATGCAATGCAAGTTCTCCCTGTGCCCAATCCTGTTTCTCTCCTCTCCCCTGTCCTCCCCTAGCTGTGGATCCCAAGAGCCGTCCCTAATGAATGTCTTGGTACAATGATGGACATCTCAGAGTCAGCTTCCTCAGAAGCCAACCTATGACATGACCCAAATAAGGAGGAGCTTCTAATTAAACTAAAAACTAGCGTTTGGAGTACCGGGCCACCAAAAAAGAAATCACAGCATATGAACTTGGTGAGTGTTTCTGCATCACTTCTGACTTTAGCTACAGTTCCTTGGAGACCGCTCAGACCTCCAGATCTCAAAGATTCAGAAATCACACCACACACGTACACATCCCCCCCAGCTCCTCAGTGAGCCTGACCTCCGTTGGCTAGTCCAGACTTCTCGGTTTTAGAACATGGGATCTGCCCCTCGCCTGTGTAGCTGAGTCGGTGAAGCGTCCGACTTCGGCTAAGGTCATCATCTCACAGTTCACAAGTTCGAGCCCCACATTGGGATCTCTGCTGTAAGCACAGAGCCCACTTCGGATCCTCTGTACCCACCCTCCTCTCTTCCCCTCTTGCGATCACTCTCTTTCTGTCTCTTTCTCTCTCAAAAGTAAAGAAACATTAAAAATAATAATAATAAAATAAAACAGAGGGCCTGCCCCTCAATGCCTTCAGAGGCAGGACCACAGCTGACTGTCTGTGGCCTGTCGATACTCTCACTCTATTGTGCCTGCATATAGCCTCACACGTCACATGCAGCCCCACCAGCACGCTCTTCTCCTCACCACGGGATACCTCAGCCACCGGGGTCTTCATCCCCCTTCTCATTCCTGAATAAGCCTCTGGAGCCAGGCTGCTTGATTCAAATCCCAGCTCAGGCATCTACTAGGCTGTGTGACCCGGGCAAGCTACCTTAGTCACTTTGAACCTCAGTTCACTCATCTGTAAAATGGGGATAATAACAGTTTCTACATCAAAAGGCTGTGGTTGAGTTAAACAAGCTAATACAAATAAAGTACTTACAACAGGAAGCACCAAATAACTATTATATCTTCTTATTACTATTATCATCATCTGCCCATAGGTTCTTCTGCACACACTTAATTTCTGACTTTAAAGCTTTCTTCAATAAAGTACCTAAATAAATATAAATACAGCCTGAAAATGCTTATAACCCAGCCCACCAAACCATCTCTTTTCTATCATTGCAATGGTCTTGGAAAAGCTAACTCTTCTTTAGAACCTTCACAGGTAGACCAGCAGACTGGAGGGCTTACCCTCACTGTCCCCATCTCCATCAGGACACCCAGGCTCCCTGCCCATGATCCTCATCTATTCTGTATTTCCCTTGCCTCCTCATTCCCCTCCCCTCTTACACCTATACTTGGCTCACTGCACACACACACACAGCAAACCAAAATAGAAGGAAAGTTCATCCTTCTCCCCATGATGCATAATTTACTGCAAGTTCACAATAAGAAAAGCCACAAAGTCAAAGGCATCAAGAGATTTTGGACCCTTTCCTGTACAGAAAACCTGCATTCAATCTTGCACACCTCTCTAGAGGAACTCCTCTCCTCCCTTCCTCTGCAAACTTTTACTTACTTACTGACTGACTACTTACTTATTATTTTAGAGAGAGAGGGCCCAAGTGAGTGAGGGGCAGAGACAGACAGACAGACAGACAGACAGACAAGGGGGGGCTCACCCGGAGCTCATGTTTTTTACCCAAAGCCAGGCTGGTGCTCACCCGATGAGGGGCTCGAACTCATGGAACTGTGAGATCATGACCTGAGCCAAAGTCACATGCTTCACATGAGCTACCCAGGTGCCCTTCCTCTGCAAACTTCAAGAAGGAGTCTACACACAACGTTACCAGCCCAACACACTCATCCACCACCCAACCTACTGCAATGTGTCTTTGGCTCTCAGCTTGGAATGAAAATTGCTTTTACTGAGATCACCAGGCATTCGTTCCTCAACTCTAAGATGCCCTGATTACATGATATAACAGCGATTTAATAACAGCTCCTTGAGGGGTGGGGACATCCTATTAAATGTATATCTAGGCTGTAAGTGGCATCCCAGTTTCCAAAACATTGAAGTAGCCGGAGAATTAAGGATAGCCACGATTTGCTTTTTCAGTTCCCTTCAGGGGTCCCCGTAAGAGGCCTGGCCCTGCTGACCACTCCCTTCCTCAGAAGTCACGCCGCCCCTGGTGTCTGCGGGCCGCCCTTCTGGTCAACCCCACCACCGTTGAGTTCTCTTATTCTCTTCCTTGAACAGTGTTTCCTCTGTTGATCCCTTAATAGGAGTGCTCCTCAGCAGCCCATACTGGGCCTTTCTCCTCTCCACACTCTCTTGGAAATCTCGAACGCAACCCAAAATTCATCTGTTCCCACATGTAGCCAGATCCAGTCTCCCCCTCCCACCTGAGCTCAGGCCCCTATGACGGGAGCCTCCCGTCTTCTGTCCTCTTCACCCGAGTCTACACACCCCCTCCTGCACCCACCAGCCCC